AGGCATGATTTTACAGGCTGAGTGTTTTGGTTTAAAATAAGACCTTGAAGAAGGCTAAAGAGTTTCTTTCCCTTGAAGTTCTCAAAAATAAGTTTGATACCCGAAGAAGATTATGATGTCATAATCATGACTACTTAATCAAGCTTGTGGTGGGGAGGAGGAATAAATGATATCTCAGGGACACAACTTACACACACACACACACACACACACACACACACACACACACACACATAAACAAACAAACCATTCATTATGTGTCTAATTACTCATTAATAGTCATCCATAAAATTGGAGAGTTCCCTGACATGTTATAAGCACCAAGAAATTCTTCTTAATCTGGTGGTGATGTAGAGGTGTCCCCATTGTGGATATTCTATGCCCAAGCTGTTTTGAGGCACTTAAGGGCTTCAAAATAATTTTTTTCATTAAAAAAAATGCCATTCCCCAAATGATAAGTAGTCAGAGGATATGACTAAGCAGAGGAAGACATCAAAGCTATCAATAACCATATGAAAAATGCTCTAAATCTCTAATAATTGTGTTGTGTGTGTTTGGTTGTTTTTCAGTCATTTCTGACTCTTCATGACCTCATTTTAGGGTTTTCTTGCAGTGGTTTACCATTTCCTTCTCCAGCTCATTTTGCAGATGAGGAAACTGAGGCAAACAGGGTTAAGTGACTTGCCCAGGGTCACACAGCTAGTATGTGTCAGAGACTAGATTTGAACTCAGGTCTTCCTGACTCCAGGCCTGGTGCTCTATCACTATGCCATCTAATGCAAATTAAAACAACTTTGAAGTACTATCTCATACCCATGATATTGGTTAAGAAGACAAAAAGAAAAAAAAGTAAATGACAAATGCTAGCGGGAAAGTGGGAAAATAGATACTGTTGGTGGACTTGTGAACTTGTTTAACAATTCTGGAAAGCAATTTGGAATTGTGCCCCCAGAGCTATTAAACGGTGCACACTTTTGACCCAGGTATATCCCCAGTAGTTCTATACCCCCAAAGAGATCAAAGGAAGAGGAAAAGGACCCATATGTACAAAGATAGTTATAGTAGCTCTTTTGTAGTGGCAAAGAATTGGAAACTTAGGGGATGTCCATAAATTGAGCAATGGCTGAACAAGCTGTGGTATATGGTTGTGTTAGAATATTATTGTGCTATAGGAAATGATGATGGGGATAGTTTTAGAACAACCTGGGAAGACTTGTATGAACTGATGCAAAGTGAAGTGAGCAGAACCAGGAGAACACTGTACACACTAACAGCAACATTGTAAAGATAATTAGCTTTGAAAGACTTAATAACTTTGGTCTATAAAATGACCAACCATGATCCCAAAGGACTCATGATAAAACATGCCATCTATCTACCTACCTATACACATACATACGTAATATATACTATCACATATAGTATATATGTAGATTATATATACATTAGTATAATAAGTGTCTTGAATTGTTAAACAAGTTCACAGCTCTACCATCGGGGCATTAGTGTATAAATTTTCCCACTTACCCTCCAGCATTTTTCATTTAGGTTTTTTTTTTTGGTCATTTTATCCAATCTGATGGGCATGAGGTAGTACTTCAGCGTCATTTTAATTTTCATTAGGTGGCACAGTGGATAGATACCAGGCCTGGAGTCAGAAAGATCTAAGTTCAAATCCAGTCTCAAATACTTACTATACAAATGTATATATAGTCTATATTTACCATATGTCCATCTGCATACATATTTTACACTCTGGTGTAAAAGGTGCTTATAGCCAAATGGGTCCACATGCATGAGGGCCTGCAGCACTGAGTCTTAAGGCAGGAGCATGGTTCCCAACCATTCATGGTCAGTTTCAATCACATTCTGCATTGGTGCTAGATGATTTCTTGTCCTCTAACCAAAGAACTTTGTGAAGAGCCCATCCTTGGAACTAAACTAATAACTTTGAGATAAATAAATAGTATTATAGTATTAAATAGCAAGACTATCCCCTTCCACAGAGTAAAGATTATGCAGTTATTTAAAGAAAGTTGTGTGATGCTGAGCAAGTCATTTAACCCTGTTTGCCTCAGTTTCCTCATCTGTAAAATAAGCTGGAGACAAACCACTCCAATATCTTTACCAAGAAAACCCCAACAGGGATCAAGAAGAGTCAGACACAACTGAAATGACTATAGAACAACAACATAGAAACATAGAAATATAAGTCATCATGGGGTACACTATCCTATACCCATGCATTATTTACTCATCCATCATACTTAACAGTATAGGATATGCTTAAATAAAATTCCATCTATGTTTGTTCCCCACCATTCTGTCATACTGAGACAAAATTAAGTGTATAAACTTTGTGGTTGACATCGTAATATTACAATTCAATTAGTAATGCTGGTTTTTAAAAGTCTAGATAATCCAAAAGCTAATAGTCTTTCTATTAATGATACGATGATGATGATGATGATGATGATGATGATGATGATACAGTTAACATTTTTATAGCACTTCCTATGTGCCAGTCACTGTGCTAAGTGCTTTAAAATCATTATCTTAACTTGATCCTCACAACAACCCTGAGAGATAGGTGCTATTATTCCCATCTTACAGATAAGAAAAGTGAGGCAAATAGAGGTTAAGGGATGATAACAACAATAGGACGTCACATTTATATAGCTCTTCAAGGCTTACAAAGGGCTTTCCTCACAAGGTAGGCAGTGCTACTGTTATTATCCACATTTTACAGAAGAAGAAACCCATGTTAGGAATGTAAATGACTTGTTCATGGTCATACAGCCTAGAAGGTATCAGAGTCAGTGTTATTAGCCCCATTTTACAGATAAGGAAGTTGAGAAAGAGACTTGCATGTGTACATACTGCTATTAAGTATCCATCAATGTCTTCCGAAGGTATCATGGTTTGGCAGAAAGAGCTCTTGGGTTTCAATATCATAGAAGAGCCAAGGATGAATCCAAGATCTTCCTTTGACTAGCTGTGTGACCTTAGCTAAGTCACTCAACTTTTCTGTGCCTCAGTTTCCTATCTAGTACATAACAAGGGGTTGATAACCGACAGGCATCCTTGGGTTTGTATTTCAGAGTGACAACCATTCATTCTCATCCTTGAGAGGCATTTGGGGCTATTACAGTTTTTAATCCAGATGGTATACGAGTCATGTCCACATAGGGAATTCTTGAAGGGAGACATACATAGCCTTTGAGAGACCAAGAGCAGAAGTAGTGACTGCAAGAATTGAGCAGCAGGGAGGAGGCAACATGTCCAGCCTCCCTTAACTGGGATTTAATGAGCCAAACTAGAAAGAAGCATCCATACAGGGGCAACACGTAATGGAAAAACTGAAAAAGTGAATCTGAAAGGAGGGCTGATCTCTTACAGAAGAAAGGAGGGAACTGAGGAAGGCTACCAAGCCATATGAGCACCTCAAACAGAGGGCTCAGACTAAAACTATCAGTAGAGCTCACCTCATCCAATTCTCCCCCCACAAAAGAAAGATATTCATTCCTGAACTTCCCTTTCTGTGCCTGCCCAGTAATAGACACTGTAATAGACTCCACTCACCTCTACCTAAACCAGGGGTGGGGAACCTGCAGCCTCGAGGCCTCAAGTGTGGCCCTTTGACCAAACTTGAGGACCTAGAGGGCCACATGGGGCCTCGAGGCCACAGGTTCCCCACCCCTGAGTTCTAAACATTTCCATATCTTGATTATTGCCTCAAACATAAAGAAGCCAAGATTTAGGTAGACACAGAACTTTAAATTAAGAAAGAAACCCAACCTGTGTTTGAATATTAGGAACTTTCCCAACTGGGAGCTCTGAGCTATTGTGATTGTATTAATAACTTTTCATTGGCTATAAACTCCATGAAACAGCAGGGGAAGGGGACGATGCACCTGAGGGCCATTGTACTGCCCTGAAAGTCAACTAGTACTTATAACAAGGTGTAGCCGACTGGATCACTGGCTTCCACAGTGAGAAGGGCAAGATGCAGAGGGAGGAAGCAGGTCAGGGATATGTGAGATTCATCTCTTCCCCTTCCAGGAGGAGGAAGTACGGCATAAGAGTTAAGTACCTTATGCAGCAACATCCACCGTTATTAAAACTATTTAGAATGAGGTCAGACTAGATATTAGCTAAGTTTCCTACCAAGTCTAATGTTCTGTGATTCTGATTCCCACTAGGCCATAAGTCTTTTCTTATTCAGAAGACAATAAACTACTTCCCCATGACCCATGAAAGCACAGTTGAGCTCTATTAGTACAAGGGAAAACACTTCACACTAAACATGTTAGAAGATAATTAGCTAGAGTCTAACTCTAGATAACAACAATAAGATTAGCAGGGACCTAAAACTTTCCAGTTTTTCCATTAAAAACTTCCTGGTTAGAATCTGAATGTTGCCAACGGGATCTAGGCATTCAGTGCTATTTTTGTAGGCACTGATACACTCTCACCTTTCCAGCTTTTGCACTCATAAAGTCTTGAGGTGTATGTTGTACTTTTGCAAACAAAGTGGTCCCATGTGATATCCCTTTAAAGTATTCAGGGAAACTATTCAAGTGTATTACTGAAGATAAGCTTAAAATTAGTTTTTCAATTCAATTTTGTGCCCAAGCCTAATCATTTTTGCCTATAGTTAGGCTTTCATGGGGAAATAGGAATAAAAAAATATCACCTAAATAAGTAATATTGTGGACTTGGAGTGATATTCCTTGGGATAGTATCCAAACTTTAGAAAGCATGAAATAAATCTTATTTTCCGAAATTAAATCTGTGAAGAGAACCCGTCCGAGTTTCCTGTATAGTCTGTCTTTCTCCTTGGCCATATTTGCTTTCTGCTCATCATTCCTCCCTGGATATTTGCATGTACCAAATTATGAGGTTGAATCTTTCTTGTGGTTTCCATCTGCCATGGCTATGGCTGCTGATACTTGAGACCTTAGCTAGGACATCTTTCTCAGAACTTCATACCCAACTTTTTAGACCCATTCAAATTTTTTGGCTCTCAGGTAGCTAGGGCTGCCACAGTTCACCTGAGAGGCAGAAGGTTTCAACTCCCTTGATGAATAATGCCCTCCAAGTCTGCTTCGTGGGGCGGAGGCATGTTCTTCAAGCTGGGGACTGTCTTTGGGCCTGGGAGCCTGGGCCATCTCTTTGACAAGTCTGCCCTGCAGCTGTTTAGGAGCTATCCCGTGCTGTTCACTGCCACTGGACATCACCTCACTGCCCTCTTCATCTGGAAAAGCCATTCTTCCTGATGAACAGGACTTATTGCTTGGGCTGTTAAGGTTTGACCTGGAAGCTACATCTTTAGGCCACACCATTGGATGAAGAGATACATCTTCCCCTCTAGACTCAGGCCACTCACAATTCTCACTGGTCTGACTAGACCTCTTCACCAGGTGTGGAGGTTCCTGTTCTACCTCTGAGGCCAAACAGTTCGTGGCTTCACCAGGAGAGATGTTTGGAGAGCCATGCTCTTCACTGACACAAGCATTTTTTATCACCTGCTTGGCCAGATGCTTCCGTCTCAACCATCTCTGCATGCTACAAGTCAGGTCAACAAAACTTAGGAGGAAGGATAGAGCATTGACTCCCCAAATAAAAAGCATCATGATTGATTTCTCTGTGGGCCGGGAGATGTAGCAATCCACCACGCTTGTACAAGGGGAGTGGTAGCAGGAGAATCGTTTTGGAACCCAAAATCCAAAGAGATAGTATTGGGTGCCTACAAAAGCTGCTTCAGTCAGGATCCGAAGGAGAAGTTGTATTATATATACAGTGGAAAAGTCAGGGACATTTAGACAAAAACAGCAAGGCCTTGGGTAGAGTCCCTTCACTGCTCTCTGGCCAAAGAGGCTATGCCTCCCTTTACAACAATCTGGTTGGTGGGCCCCTAGTGCAGCATGTAGGGCTCCTTTGTGAAGGACATAAACACTGAACATGGTGTATGGTAGGAGAACAGACACATTCTGGATTAGCCAAAAGCGGAAATGGGATACGGGAGAAAACATGTCATAACATACATTGGAGCATCCCGGCTGCAAAGTATTACAGACAAATCTCTCTTGCTCATCTTGGTAGATTGGGTAGCCTGCCAAAATGATTACCACCATCCTCAGCATTATTGTGAAGATGAGCCAGATCTTCCCTAGAAAAGAGCAAATCGGTGTGAAAAATATTATAGCCAATAAGTATAAAGACAATTCTAGAAACATTGTTTGAAAATGAGGAGGCAGTGTCAAGGTGAGAACAAGGAACAGGAGAAAGAGAGAGAGAGAGAGAAGGAGGGAGGAGAGAGAGAGAGAGAGGGAGGGAGGGAGGGGGGGGAGAGAGAGAGAGAGTTAGAGTTAGTTTTTGGTTTGATTTTTTATAAATCCCAAATCTATGGATAATATTCTGAATAGGGCATTTAAGTTCCTTGTGACTCCATTTTCCCATTTGTATACTAATACTGTGTTTGTTCTTAAAGTGCTTCAAGATTATTAGGCAAAAAATAAACATTAAGACTTCAGTAATTCAGCCTCTACTAATTTAAACTTTTAAAAAGTCCAATTTTCTCTGGGTAGAGCTGAAATCTATCTTCATATTGTCTCTGGAAAAAAAGTATTTCTGTAAACAAGACTATAGAGGACATGTATAACCCACTTAATGGAAGAAATGATTTTTTTAAGGATTTCCACTCCACACTGTAATTGTCTATGTTACAGATGGATGTGGCTAATATCTGTTCATAGGAACAATCCACAGAACTTCTGCTGCGGAACACTGTTAGCTTCTAACGTTGCTGCTTGTGCTTAAAAAGAAACAAACTGTACTTGTTCAAATGTATATGATAATCCTGACTGTTCAGTGATTCAAACTAGCCTCTATTTAGTGAGATCCAAGTCTGTGAAAGATGCCATCATCAGTGAATGGAAATCAAAAACTTTTCAAAATCTACCCAGGAGAGTAATTTCAAAGAACCATTTTGCATTAATTGGATTAGGCCAAGGCAATTTTTAAAATGTTTAGGTTCTGTGTCTACAGAGTAGAAACACTGGTGCAGTGGAAAGAACATTGTACTGGGAGTCAAAAGTCTCAAGTTTAAATCCTATCTCTGCCACTTAATGCCTGTGTGAAGTTGGGCAAGTCACTCTGTGTCTGTAAGCCCTGTCCAACTCTTCGTGACCCCATTTGGTGTTTTCTTGGCAGTGATACTGGAGTGGATTGCCATTTCTTTCTCTAGTTCATTTTACAAATGAGGAAACTGAGGCAAACAGGGTTAAGTGTGTTGCCCAAGGTCACACTGTTAGTAAGAGTGTAAGGCTGGATTTGAACCCAGGTCTTCCTGACTCCAGGCCTAAAGCTCTATCCACTGTACCGCCTGGCTGCTGAGCCTCAGTTTCCCAATGTGTAAATGAGGGAGTTGGACTAGGTGATTTCTATGAGTCGAATTATGTTCTCCCAGCTATAGATCAATAATCCTATGAATATCACCTGTAATGGGGGGGGGAGGGAGGAGTGGGAGGAAAGGGTATGGAATCTCTTGCCTGTTAAAGCAATGAAAGATGAAGGGTGAAATAAACACATGATAGCATAATTTTTAAAAACCTTTTAAAACAAATTCATCTTGTTGCAACTCTTCAAAGGAATAAGAAAGCGGAGTATCAACTAAGTATTTAAAACACCTAAAAACAAATGGGAAATATGCTGGAAGAAAAAAATATATTTAAAGGATAACTATGATTTATTTTTGCAAAACTGTCTCCATTCTTGGTAATTTGAGTAAGGGTGTAACAGTATAAAAATATCCTTTCCCACCTGTTCCAGTCTTCAAACACAGCACTTGTGTCAATGAATGGAGAGTTGGTTAGATTTCAAACAGCATTTCACTTAAGAACTTCCTAAGTAATCACAGTAGAATGAGAGCAAAATGTCATAGGAAAAAGGAAGCCTCGCCAGAACCTACTGGGGGGAAAAGCATATTCCTAGGTCCTTTATTGACAAAAACATAGAAGATTGTTCTTTAAAGCTCAACCAGCAAAAAAAGAAAACTTGAAAACTAAGCCAGTTTCTAGGAGAGAGAATGAATTCTGTTGTTTTTGGTAAAGGGAAAAAGAAGAGAAATTTGAAACGGAAATACTCACCCAAAATTGTCACATTGCAGTTTAAGGTGATGATCAGAAACCCCAGCAAGTCCCAACGTTCCATATTTCAGTAATTCCCCAAACTCTAAAGATCTTGGAATGTGGTGCTTTCCAGACCAAAAGAATATGGGGAAAATCCCACAGGATATGTTTATTTTTTAGCTAGAAAGAGGTCTGGAAATGAAGCCTGGAAAGGTGAAGAAAAAAAAAAAGAATTGGTGACGAGGCTGTTGACAGGAGCCCAATTTCTTCTTCCTCAGGTTGAAACTTCGGGGAGCTGATTGCTTCCAAGACTGCCCATATCCTGACAGCTGTAAAGAGACAAAAAGATGACAGCAGTTATCTAAGCCATTGTGAGTTATTCTTACCCTCTCCCGGGCATTCTAACCTCTTGGCCCTGCTCCTGTGTCTCAGTTGTGAGAGTCAGGTGTCTTCAGAATATGTGCAATACAGTTCTAGTAGAGGTCCAAAAATATCAATTACCTCACTCCCAGAATAGGAGAGATCAGTAATTGAAAGATTCAAAGAACACTTAAGTTACCCCTTTCTTGTAAATGTTTCTGACTGTTGTGTCAATTTAGCTGTGTCTGACTCTTCGTGACCCATTGGAGGTTTATTTGGCAAAGATACTGGAGTGGTTTACCATTTCCTTCTCCGGCTCATTTTACAGATATGGAAACTGAGGCAAAATGAGCTAAGTGACTTGCCCAGGGTCATATAGCTAGTCACTGTCTAAGGCCAGATTTTAAGTCAGATCCTCCTGACTCCAGGTCCAACACTCTATCCACTGTGCCACCTAGCTTCCTCAAGCTCTAATTAGGAGGACTCGATGCTTTGTCTTTGGTTCTCATACTCATCTCCTCTATGAAGCATTCCATGATCACAAACCACAATGATCATCATCTTTATTTTCAATACCTACAACACTTAAGAATATATGTCATTAACATTACTTTTGCCCTACCTTATCATTTATTTTATGATTATTCTTCCTTATTTCCCCCCTAACTAGATGGTAACCTCAGAGGAAGACTCCCCTTTCAATATCTCACTCCAATACCTAGCAGAGTATCGCTCATGGAGTATCTGTTTGCCAAATGCCTATAAATAGATAATTGAATGGGACCACATGGGACTACTCATATCATATTTGTATCCCAAATTCCCCTCATCCCCCTTATTCCATCATTCATAAGAAACTACCCTACATACCTGGGGATATAAAACCAAGAATAAAAATTGTGACCTTCCAATGTCCTATCGTTTTTTTCTTCTCATTTCTACCTATTTGTAGGGGGCACCTAGGTGGTACAGTGGGTAAAGTGCTGGATTTGGAGTCAGAAAGACTCATCTTTCTGAGTTCATAACTTTCAGGGTGTGTCCCATTTTAAAAGTGGCACAGTAGATAGAGCACTGGGTTTGGAATCAGGAAGATTCCATCTTTCTGAGTTCAAATCTAGCCTCAGACACTTACTAGCTGTGTGACCCTGGGAAAGTCACTCAAGCCTGTTTGCCTCAGTTCTTCATTTGTAAAGGAAATGGCAAACCACTTCAATATCATTGTCAAGAAAACCCCAAAAAAGGGGTCATGAAAAGTGAGACATGACTGAACAACAACAAAGATAAACCTATTTGTGGGGAGGAGATAGAAAGGGAAAGTAAGTGGCCATTTCTCAGAAAGATTTCCCAGAAGAAGGGTGTCACCAAAGCTTCTTTTCATCTTTGCCCAAGAAACACTTCTCTCTATTCTACAAGCCAACACTGCTCCCTCCTTGAAAATAATATGTTTTGCCAGACTGTAGTTAGGCATCTAAAGAAGAGAATTGACATTTGGAAAGATGATCAACAAATACAAATCCTATAATAGCAATTGTGATCTGAGGATAAAACAAAGTACAACCTATTTGCTTTCTAATGCAATAGGTTTGGGGAAATTTTGCTTGCCAAGGACACTTTAGAACTGAGAAAATGTAATTACTAGTTTAAAAATGAATTTTATTGTTTTTATGTTACCTCTAGTCAGGAACCCCCTCTACTTAAGCAGATCAGTTATTTCCTTGCAATTTAGCCTTAGAGAGCTGCCTAGGGCACTGAAGTGTTACCAAAGACAGCAAATATTTGTCAGAGGCAGAACTTGAAACCCAGGTTTTTCTGACTCCAATGCCAGCTCTTCATAGTCTACATCATCTTCTTGTCCATACTCACTAATTTTTATTTTGAAAGCAAATAGCCATTTTATTGGAGCTAAGTGACCTTGAACAAGTCGCTCAATCTCAATAAATATTTCTTTTCTGTAAAACTGAAGTAATGCTTACCCTTACCTACTTCACAGTGTGGTTTTGAGTCCACTGAGATAATTAATGCACATGCATTTTTGAAAAATCTGAAATATATTCAAATGCCCAGGTATCATTATATGACAGTAAAGAACCCCTTAATTCCATTTTCAATCTCCTACTCATTATTTTGCCAACACACACTTTCTGTCATCTTCCGAACAATCTACCCCTATTTACTGACTCTATCTTTCTTTCTCTCTCAGTTATGTACTAGGAGATACTTAAAGAAAATGTTGATATTCCACCTGGTTACAGCATAAAACAAGCTAGGGACAGATCCGAAAGAAGAGAAGAAGGTTGCTGTAGCTGCCAAGTTTGACCATGTCATCATAGAGTCCTCCAGAGCTAATGAGACTCTGCTGTGTCCTGGTTAGATGTGGACCAGGCTTAGTCATGTCAAAAAGTATGTCAACAAGCCCTCGTTAAGTGGTAACTACGTGCCAGGCATTATGTTAAGTGCTGGAGATACAAAGAACACAAAAATAGCTCTTGCCCTTAAACAGTTTACAGTCTAATAGATCATCATGGTACCTCGAATAGGAAGAGGAAGATTCTCTAGTAGGCTCATTCAGAACAACGTAGGTTTGGAAAAAGAGATTGGCAATGGGGGCCAATAGGTCAGTGAGTCATTTAGGGTTAGTGAGTGACAGGAGGCAAGCCTAGGTTTAGGTAGGCATATGAGAGAGCAAGAAACAGTAAGTAGATTTTAAGTTCCTTGAGAGCAGGGACTGTTTCCTTTTTATCATTTATTTCAATGTGCTTAAAATTATTACTTAAGTGCTTTAAAATTATTGATGGATTGAATTGAGAGGATAATTAGGAGCTCAGTGTTGAAAGTGATTACCATGGGAAAAAAGAAGAGAATCCCTCCTTGGAATAACCAACACTTTGGGAATATGGATGCATTAAGGCCCCAGAGTGACAGCTGAAGGTTTCAGAAGGCAGACAATTGAGCATCAGTGGCCTGGCAGGACATAGGTGAGAGAGCCAGACAGCAAGGCAATCTAAAGGGGATTTTTTCCCCACAGGCATAAACAGGCTTACAGCATGGTGACTGCTTGTTGTCCTTAGTGCTCGAAGAGGACCAAAATGACATCACTCTGTTGGGGTCAAGATAAAGTGTGGATGACTGGCTCATCAGACCAATACAAGTTCAGAAGATTCTACCACAGATTAGACACAAATAGTCCATATGAACATTTGCAGTGGAGACGTCTCCTAATTTGCGCATCTGCCATTTCTTTTGAGCTACTGCAATTCTGCTTCCCTTATATAGCAATTGATTCCAAAGTTCTTCTGAGACATCTTGAGAGTATCTTCATATGCTTCTTCTGACCTCCATATGAGCGCTTGCCTGGTGTGAGGTCTCTGTAAAATAGTATTTTAGGCAAACATATGTTGACATTTGAACAACATGGCCAGGCTATTGGGAAGAGTTTGAATGCTTGACAGTTTAGCTTAAGAAAGGACCTCAATGTCCATTACCTTATCTTGCCAGGTGATCTTCTGAATCTTCCTAAGAAAATTCAAATGGAAGTGATTCAGTTTCCTGGCATGGCACTCATAGACTGTTCAGGTTTCACAGGCATACAACAATGAGGTCAGCACATCAGCTCTGTAGACCTTCAGTTTGGCAGGCAGTTTAAGACCTTTTTCTCTCCCACACTTTCTTTCAGAGCCTCCCAACACTGAGCTAGCAAAAGATTGATGACATGTACTTAGTCAAATGTATTACAATTCTGTAGCACATAGTAATTAAGACTTTTGTTTAGGTTTGTGTGGAGTTTTTTTTAAGGAGCTGCTAAATTATCTAATTTGAGAAATGAATGTTTTACTGGCACTGCTCAAGATTTAAATGACTTTTAAGAAATTTTAAGATGCTGGATGGAGAACAAATGTTCAGCAGCTGTACAGACACAACAGAATAATCTTGTCTGACATTTGCATTCCATTTCCATACTTAAATCCACTTTCTCTATTAACAAAATAAGTAATGATAGCCTATTCCACCAATGGTATGTAGTTGTTCCATAGGCCCAGCCTAGGCTATCCAGGGAATTAAATGCCCCAGGATTCCAGTTATTCTGCATCTAGACTGATGGCAACATTTTAGCTCAAAGGAAAAAGAGGAAATTCATGAAGACCAGAACTCAGCAATCTAAATGCAAGGGAGGCAGAGCTCACTCAATTTAGCTGTCAGTTGGCCCTGGACGTCTAAACTTGTATCTATCTTTGATGGTTATTGTCCAAAGTGCCCCCCACCCCATGCTCAGGCCTCACAGCTGGCAAGGATAAAGGTAAATTGGTTCTCCCTGACAGCGCCTAGCAAGACAACTCCCTCGTGAATCTGTACGTTGGCTGGGAATGTATTTGGAAAAAGAAGGTGTGGTCATAATTAATAATAACAACAACAATAGTAACTAGCATTTATTAGTGCTTTGAGGTTTATAGAGCACTTTACATGTATTTTGTTTGATCCATGAAAGAGCCCTGTGAGGTCAGTGCTATTATTATTGTTCTCTTACAGATAAGGTAACTGAGGCTGAGAGGTGAAGTGACTTGGCCAGAGTCATACAATCAGTAAGTGCCTAAGTCAGGATTTACACTTAGGTCTTCTTGACAATCCGAGGCCAACGCTCTATTCACTGTGCCACCTACCTGCCAAAGATCAGAAGAATTCCTTTATTGTGTTCTACCTCAGCTACATTATGACCCTAATTCTGAG